CTTATGTACAAACATTATGAAAACATGCCTTATGTACAAACATTATGAAAACATGCCTTATGTACAAACATTATGAAAACATGCCTTATGTACAAACATTATGAAAACATGCCTTATATACAAACGTTATGAAAATATGTCTTATATACAAACGTTATGAAAACATGCCTTATATACAAAAATTACTTTGAGCATAGAAATTCGTGACTTATAAATAGATTAAATTATTATGCTAATTTTACGTCTGATAACATAAAGTTATATTATCAGGTAAAAAATATTTGTAAAGATAATAACATGTAGAGACTGAGTTAAGGTAGCTTTATAAAACATTCAATTTTTACACCCCACTTGAACCAATGTGTGTATATGATTTTAAAAATATACAAGCCCAGTTTATAACTAGTGACAAGTGTCGAATCAATTTATAGATTGGGCTTCATGTACATATATGTTTTTATATTTGATTCTGAGTTTAGTCTTTTGTGGACTTTGCTATCTGTATTAATGTAGATAAGGTAAAGAAATGTTAATATTTTTATTTGTAAAAACACTAAAGTAAGATACAGTGAGTTTATACTGCGTCACTTTGAGATATATTTATTAACAATATTTGTGTTAAAAGTTCAATAATAATTAGAGTATTGAGATTTATGTAAAAATCATGTTGACCAGAGTAAAAGAAGTTAACATTATTAACATGTTTTACTTTACAGGTATTAATCAGGACCACTGTGGGTCAGTTGGAGCGTGTGAATCTGTAAATAAAGTGTTGCTTGGATCACACCAACCTCAATACAAATGTTTTACCTTCGATACGAGTTTTATTCTAGAAATCAAACGTAGAATTATTGTAGTCTAAAGCATGTTATTATGTTGGTTATATCGAGAAAAAAAAATATGTAAATAGAAAAACATGCCTTTCATAAGTTTGAGAAAATTAATGTTCTATAGTGAGATAATAAACCAGGCTGCTGGTTTCAAAAATGTTCTTTTTTTTCTTCACAATTTGAGTAGTTTTCTTACTTAATTTGGTGTTTTTCTATGTATTGAGTTAAACACCGACAGGTTTTGTGATGTACTTTTACATTGTAAGAGGGCATTAGTTATAAAAGACTGTTTCAGATGCTGCTGTCTTGAGTGGAAAATTAATCTACAGTGATGCACTACTAGCTCTAAGATAAGAAAATTATTTAAAATTGTGAACGATTAGATATGCAGGATGTTCGATAATCCATATTAGCTTTAATTGTACGTATATTCAAACTATTGCATCTTCCTAGGACATTTATCCTTAACACACTTTGCTGTAGATTGTAAAGGGTTGTCCCTGACATCTTTCAAAATTATTCCAAACTTTATAAGGTGATCCTTGCATTAAACAGATCTATAGATGTATGTATTGTTTCGAAGAGAAGCATCAGAGAACCTGTTCTGGTGTGTGTGTAAGTTCGTTTTTTAACTTTTCCAGCCAGTTAAATGTGTATATACTGTTACTTTATCTTTCCAAACAACACAACAGTAATAGTTTGTGCGAGTAAATCTATAGTAATATATGTATATATAGAAATCTCAGAAGGTTCAATTGTGGTACCTATATTAATGTTATACATTTTTCTCCTCATTAACAAGAGGTGAAATTATTGAAGCTCATAAAATAATAATGGGAAAAAAAGTCATTTTAACAAATTGCTTCAGTTAAAATGGAGTAGTAGTACCAGCTGTGCATTTTTATTGATCGCTTATAACTTCACCTGAATACTGACGGGAGAGACTATACGATCATTTTCTCAAAATGCATGAGATTAAATATGTAGTTAATACTTTTATTACCAAAACATTGGATGAAAAAAAAAGTAATTACTGGCCACTCTGAATGGAAAGAAAGCTGACTCCTAATGTGTTTTTTACAACTAACTAGTACTGTTCCACCCATTTCATTTGTTCTGCTAAATTAAATGCCATTTTCTTGATTTGATAAATTGCTTATTTTTTTATATAATGCATATCAAGAAATTGATTTGACTTGCACAACAGGAAGGATTGTATCACTTAATTTTTAAGTTTTCAAGAGTAAGAGTACTCTCCACACATTTCAATTGTCATTAAACAATATTTTCTTCTTTTAGAATTGAAGAAACTTAAAATATGCAAGTACGTTATAGAAGACAATAGATAT